TCAGCTGGGAACTGCACGTGGCTTCAGGCAGTTCATTCAGAATCTTGGGCTTACCATCATTTCCGTTATTGCTGGCATGATACTGGGTATGCGGGGACATTCGTTTTTAGAAGTTTTCTTCATTGCCTGTGTTTCTCTGTCATTTTTATCTGTGGTCTTACTCATTTTGTGAATCATGCCCAGAGTGGGAACCTAAATTATTCCACAAGACAAGGGGAAGAAATAAAATTTTCCCATACTTATTAAGTTTATACTCCAAGAATGTTATAAAAAAGAGCAAAAATAAATTTAAAAAAATATGTTTAAGTGACTGTGTCATGAGAATGGCTTTGCACATCATTGGTTTGAAATTCTCCATTTAAAAACTTTATAGACATTAGAAAAAATAATGGAATGGCAAGTTATATTTATATCCAAATATACCTATTTCACAGTGTATCTGTGTGGACTATTTTAGCCTGTGTCTTTTCTTTGTGTGTTGCTGAAGAATTCTACTTTTAATAGGCCAATTAACAATGAAAGGTTTAGAAAATTGCTCTGGAACATCCAGATGAACTTCAGAAAGAACAGTGAAAAAAGAAAAATATTAGAGCTTCTGTTGAGATCATCTTGATTAAGTGTGTATCTTAGGGATACAGCCTTTTCTTTACAGCAGAAAAAAACAATGGCATTGCCACAGGCATTCCCTTTCGTGGTAGGGCATAATGCTAGAAAATACCTGACAATATTTTTATGAAGACTCCTTCTATTCACAGCCAGTAGCTTGTGCTCTACTCTGTAGTTATGTGGACTGCTGAGCAGTGACCCTTTTGAATTTATTTCTGTTACTAAGGACCCTAATCTCTTAGGGACACAACACCGTAGTACAAACTTTCGGTACAGTTTTTCAAATAGTCTAATTAATTACTACAAAGTGCCCTTCAAATTTTTGACTGTTTACGAAGATAAGTAACAAAACCGCAAAAGGAAAAAAATACTTCTTTTTTTTTTTTTTTTTGGTTATTATAAGCAACAGAACGTTGAGCACTAACATTTCCTAAGCAGAGTGTTTACCCTAGAAATAAAACTGCTAAGACCAAATTGAAGTAATTGTTCAAAGTCACTCAATTCAGAAAAGTAGAAGAGTTAGGGAGCTAACCAAGGCAGTCCCCGAAGTCCACGTTCTTCAACACCACAGGATAAATGGTATGGCATTACCATTGATCATTCCATTTCTAAGCAGTGTAGGCACTAGGTTCATTCCCTCCAGAATTTCATTACAGAACAGATGGCTTCTGCCTCTATGTCTTACACAGGACTGCAAAATAATTTTGTAACAGGAATAGAATTTTGCAACTGTAAAGGAATGTAATTCAGAGTTTTGGTTAACTGACTCTTCGTTTTCTATATCCACCCAAGGTAAGGCAATACTACAAAACGCATAATCTTAAGATTCTCCAAATTCTTCAAGCCACTGCCAGTGGTTAAAAACAAAATAAATAAAGCATATTCCTTGAACAGACCAGCCACTGGTGATGAAAGGAAAAGAGAGATAAAAGAAGTTATACAGTCACCATTCATTAATACAAATTTATAAATGTTATAATTATCCAGTGATATCTGGGTTTCTTAAACTTTCTGGGTTTTTCTGTTTATTTGTTTAAGACAGGGTCTAGCTCTGTTGCCCAGGCTGGAGTGCAGAGCACGATCTTGGCTCACTGCAGCCTTCACCTCCTAGGCTCAAGTGATCCTCCCACCTCAGCCTCCTGACTGCAGGCATGTGCCAACATGGCTGACTTACTTATTTTTTTTTGCAGAGACAGGGTTTTGCCATATTGTCCAAGCTGGTCTTGAACTTCTGAGCTCAAGTGATCCACCCTCAGCCTCCCAAAGTGCTGGGATTATAGATGTGAGCCACTGTGCCCCACCTAAACCTTCTTACAAACCTATTGCCACTTCTATCTGAAATCTTAATTTCTGTGGATATGAGTGGCTATCCATACTGCTTGATAATCAGTTTGAAAACAGCGGGTATACCACACCAGTTTCAGAATACACATTTCATAGAAAGACCTTAAAGACTACTGTAAGGGAAAGACACATTAATGAAAATAAAAAGATGAGTATGACTGAATTAAGACTTGTGGTAACTATAGGAGTTGTGAAGTAACTCTTGGATGTAGTAGCTTTCAGTTACATAGACTGAAAAGAGTGTGGAGTGCTGTCTAGTGACTAAATGAGGGCTAATGATGGCATAGCGAGATAATCACACGAGCTTTTACAGAACTCTGGTACAGTATTACTTCTATTATCTAATTATACAGCTGTGAATATACAAACCACCTAGGTTTGGGTACCATCTGAGCCTACACTAATTTATTTTCAGTCCTATAACACACACACCCCATTCCAAGCCTCTCTTTCCCTTCACAGGCAGTTATTTATACATAAGGTCTGTATGTCCACTCCCAACAGTGCACTTCAGTCAGTTCCAAGATGGCCTCTCCTCTCTCCATTCCACTGAAATAACTACAGCAACATCACTACTTCCTGTTAAGACAACACACACTTTCTAGGCATTCTATAAAGTACTTGATTGTTGGCAGCATTTGAAAAGGCCTTTCTCACAAGCCTTTCTTCATTACCCTGTGCCTTCCTTTGCCTTCCTCAGGTCCCGCCCTAGGAGCGTGCTCTCTCTTTTCCTGCGCAAAGGCTGCTGATCTCAGAAAGGTACAGTCCAGAAGTGACCACCAGTTTTGTCGGCAGCATGTACACACTCCAGAGGAGCTGCCAGAAATATGGCGGTGATTCATGTCTCAATTCAACAGCGAACACTTTAAAAAATGTATGCCAAACACCAGAAATGGGTTTTTATTAGTGAAAACAAAAAGTGGTTCTCTTTGGTGGAGCTGGAGGTATACAACATACAGTCAGTTATGTGAGGCTTTACAATAGGATTATGATCTGAGAAAGATCTGGGGTGATTTTGTACATTACAGAGTGAACACACCCAAGCCTGTAAGATATGGCCTACTTACACACCTGGGCTTTATGATATAGCCTATTGCTCCTAGGCTGTAAACCTGTACAGCATTTTACTGTACTGTATACTGTAGGCAACTGTAACACAATGGTAAGTATTTGTATATCTAATCCTGAGAGGTTAGGAGTTCGAGATCAACCTGGTCAACATGGTAAAATGCTGTCTCTACTAAAAATACAAAAATTAGCCAGGCATGGTAGTGGGAAACTATAATCCCAGCTACTTGGGAGGCTAAAGCAGGAGAATCACTTGAATATGGGGAGGCAGAGGCTGCAGTGAGCCAAGACCATGCCACTGCACCCCGGACGGAGAGACAGAGTGAGACTCCATCTCAAAAAATTCAGTGAGGCCCTTAGAATTGAGTTCCAATCTGGATTCCTAACCAATGCCCCATACAGACATCTGTTTAGCAGAGTTTTTCTTGTTTTCATGTACATAATACAAGGGTAACCAGATTCTGTCACTGAAATGTTGCTGTGTCTTCACTGGGCTCACATCCAAGGTGTGATAAGTGGTAAGGATTTGGCTGCATCAAACATCTTTTGGTGAAAAAAGTGTCGAGAATTTTGCTTTCAAATAACAGTAAGGTTACAAGGAAACACAAAATGGTCTTCAATGGCTACTGTTATCTGTCAAAAACCTTAATCATGTGGGGTGACAAAATTTAGTTATCTCAGTTTGTAAAACTTATCAATGCAAACTACCATCAGGAATCACAACAGTAAAAATTCTGACTGGCAATAGTTATCACAGACACCAATGTCCACAGTACGGCTCAACTCTGTATGTATCAGCCTGGCCTGGCATAGAAATAGCTCCAAATCTTCTTTTCCATCTGCTGTTTTCTGTGGAGGAAAAGAGCTACAAACTTAGAAAACCTAAAAACAACTACTTGACCATCACCAATAAAATGTTTGACGCGTCCAAATCCTTATCCACTTAGCACCACTGAGATCAAGGCTGAGTGAGGAGGTCTAGTCCAGACTTGAAGAAACTCAGATCTAGATCTGTCCCTGTCACTCAGTTGTATGGCTTTGAGAAGGCCACTTCATTTCTTTCCCCAATACTTCAACTGCTATAAAAAACAGAAACTTGTACCAGTCACCAATGTAAGCAAGTCTGGATGCATCTTACAAAACAATACATGTTAGTAAATGTAAGTTAGTCTGCAAACACTCAGAGCAGAAAAGAAGACTGTGGTCTTTGCATCTAGAAATGTACTACACAAAATATTTTTTAAATTCTACCTCTCTTCTACTGTTCTTGAATACCACTACATTATTGTCTATCCTTAAGTCACTGGTTTAACAACTAATAGCCAGTCAATAGATTATCATACAGTCTAAAAATAACTTTCAATAAATTAGGAGAAAGTGACCATTAGTTTAGTTTAGGATAAGAACACCTAGATTCTAACCAGTATTCAGTAGGGACCCAATTAGAGAACCACAAAAATAATCAATCTTAAAAATTCTCCTTAGCCTTCTTAAGACATCGATGTATATAATACACTCTCTATAAAAACGTCCAAAAACGCATAACTCTCCTGCCTCCTGAGTTCAAGTGATTCTCCTGCCTCGGCCTCCTGGGTAGCTGGGATTACAGGTGTGCCACTACGCCTCACTAATTTTAATATTTTTAGTAGCGACAGGGTTTCGCCATGTCGGCCAGGCTGGTCTCAAACTCCTGACCTCTCAGGTGATCCGCCTGCCTCAGCCTCATAAAGTGCTGGGGTTGCAGCCGTCAGTCGCTGCACCTGGCCTGAAACTATTACTTTTCATAGCAACAGATCTTAGACATTAGAGCTTCAAGCAGAACACAAAAACCCTTCAATGATCAATTTCAGTACAAAGGATGCTGAACAGAGCCATTTCTCCTGCTCCTTAAAAAATAATTTCGTTTCAGTTTGCCAAAATAGTTTTGAATTCAATGAATTAAAAGGGCTCCATTTTAAAGATGTCAGTTTCTTTATACTTACTAAAGTGTATCTGGAGGGCCAATAATAAGGACTTCCCATCGGTAGAGATCATTGTCATCTATTAAACCTGCAGAAAAGCCTTCCACTGGATTTTTGTTGAGTTCTGTGGAAAAAGAAAAGTTTATTTAATACATTTAAGCATATAATTTTCATCCAAATTACGGAACTTGAACATACATATTCAAGGAAACCATTAAATGCATGCACCTTGCCAGGCAAAATGCTGCTTGATGGCCAAAGCATTTTCATGTCTATACTGTGAGGAAGCCCTGGGTAAAGCAAACTAACCAGAAGATCAGCTTCTACTGGTATCCACCAGCCAGGCTCTTGTCATTCTAGGTGCCCCTACAGTGGTCTTCTAAGAAACCCTGTTAAAATGCAGATATCCAGGCCCATCCCTCAGAGATTCTCATTAAGAGGGAGCCCCCGAAATCAAATCAAGTTGGCAATTCTTATGCTGCTGTCTTTAGGGCATACTTTCAGAAACTTCAACAGAGTATCTAATCATACCTTTTCATTGGAATGTACTGAGCTTAGTAACTTTCATTTATACTACCACTTGTATACCTAACTGACATGTCCCTATAGTCTTGGGGGCCTGCTTCTACAGTTGGTGCTCCTGTGTGCCCATCCATCTTTAAGCACAAGGAGGGCAGAGGCCCCATATGTCTTGCCTGTACACGCTGACCCTCTGAGAGCCACAGCTCCTCGGACACAAGGGCAGCTTAAGAGTAACAGCTGGAGTATACAGGAATGGCTGTAGCATCATGAGGTTGTTCTCTTCTAAAGAGAGTGCTATGGCATGCAGAAAGGTTGACAGAGCGGGAAACAAGAGAGGCGAGGAACTAGCTAGGTGGGGGCACACTGGCCAAGACAGGGACCTTAAGGAGCAGGTGAGGAGGCGTACAGAGCCCAAAAGGTTTCCAGAGACACCAGGATTAATAAAGTACTGGCCTACTGATGGTGAGTAGATCATGTGAGGAACGTTTAAGCAGCTTTAATGAGGTATAACTGACATTCGGTGACTGCGCGTACTTAAATTACACAATTTGGCTGGGTGTGGTTGCTCACGCCTGTAATCTCAGCACTTTGGGAGGCTGGAGTGGGTGGATCACTTCAGGTCAGGAGTTCAAGACCAGCCCGGCCAACATGTTGACACCCTGTCTCTACTCAAAATACAAAAATTAGCCGGGTGTGGTGCCGTGCACCTCTTGCCTCAGCCTCCTAGTTACTCAGGAGGCTGAGGCAAAAGAACTGCTTGAACTTGGGAGGCAAAAGTTGCACTGAGCCGAGATCACACCACTGCACTCTAGCCTAGGTGACAATGCAAGACTCCATCTCCCCCACAACCAAAAAAAAAAAAATATTTAGTAAGTACTGACATATGTATACACCACAGGAACCAACACAACAATAATCACAAAAGTGAATGTACGTATCAGTCACCCACAAGGTTATCAAATGTTTTACCTGTCAGGGGAACTGAGTACTCATTGGCTCAAATTGGAAAGTGGGGACAAAGAACACACAAGAGAGTGGTTTGAAAAGAACTTGCTGGGGCTCTCAACAGGTAATTCTCACGTACTACCTGCCATCATCCTCAAGCGGCTTTGTCTAATGATGAAAGTCAGTATAATACAACTCAGAGTGCTACAAAGGATTGAGCCAATGTGTAGGTCACTGAGGAGATACTAAATTTTTTTTTTTTTTAAAGACGGGGTTTCACCATGTTGGTCAGGCTGGTCTCGAACTCCTAGCCTCAGGTGATTTGCCTGCCTCAGCCTCCCAAAGTGCTGGGATTACAGGCATGAGCCACTGCACCTGGCCTATTTTTTTTTTTTTCTGAGGAGATATTAATCTTTTGGGCAATCAGAAATGGTATTACTTCAACAACATGCCAGCAAAACATAAGAAAGCCAATAGTGAAAATTTATGTTTAGGCCAGACAAGGTACCTCACACCTGTAATCTCAACACTTTCAGGAGGCAGAGGTCAGGAGTTCAAGATCAGCCTGGCCAATGTGGTGAAACGCTGTCTTCACTAAAAATACAAAAATTGGCCGGGCATGGGGGTGCACACCTGTAATCCCAGCTACTCAGGAAGCTGAGGCAGGAGGATCACTTGAACCCAGAGGCAGAGGATGCAGTGAGCCGAGACCACGCCACTGTACTCCAGCCTGGGTGACAGTGTGAGACTGCACGTCAAAAACAAAAATAAAAAATTTATGTTTAAACATGAAATGCTTCTTTTCTTGAAATTTGAGGGGAGATTTTTATAAGTCTAGTATTTTTGGATAACAGACAAACTAGATTTTATAAATACCTGAAATCAGTGCTATATTACAAAACACAATAAAGGTATTTTTACTTTAAAGTGGCTAATCTAACATACTTTTTAAGATGCTGAAAGTACAAACACGTCAAGATGGGAATAGCATTCTCGTTATTTCGTTTATGCACACGTGTACTGAGCGCCAACAATGTTGCAGACATTCTCATAAAAAACAAGAAATTCCACTTTACTGTCAACTGAGCGATGGACTGGAACACACACAATTGCACTGTGAGCAGTTATTTTCTACCTGAGTTATCTCATTTCCAACTTTTTTCTAGATAAACACACCACATTACTCGGACCACTTTCTACAACACTGTACATAGGAGTTTTGTGGAAGATTCTATAATATATCCAGAAATTACCTAGTTGCATTTTCCACCGGAAATGCACGGTTTATAAACATAGGTAAGCTCTGAAATTAGTATATATGGTCAAAATTATCCTTGAAAAATTCATTACACTTTCCATAAAGTATATCATTGCTTCTTATTCTTGTCAAAACCCCCAAGTTCTTAAAATCTTTTGCCCATTCCCTCCATGCATTTCTTTCACCAGCATAATTGTGTCCTTTGCTTGTTCCATGTAATACAAAAGCCATGATGAAAAATGTCCAACATGTCACTTTTGTCATGGCTTCTGCCCTCAGCATGATACTTCCTAGATCTACATGCATGAATATTTAACAGGCTTAATCCACCTAAAGTGATAGAACCTTACCATACCTTCATGAATGCCTCCTTCAAGGTCCATATCTATACTAGCCCGCTCCCATGAAGTCTTCTCTAAATAATTTATCAAATAATCTTTTGACTTCTGCTAAATTCCTACTGATTGTACTTTCAGTCTGTCTGTATCTTCTGACACATGAGTAACAGCAGCTCCTGATTCCCAGAGAACTAAATGGGCAATTACAATGTGCTCCAACAACAGGACAAGAATTTGGGGGCACACAAAAAAGAAAGGCATATAACATAGCCATGAAGAGTAAGAAAGGCCTTCTAAAAAGGAAAAAAATAAAGGATCTGGGTGAGGGAATGCAAGGTTTAGAATCTAAACTTCTACATAGAGGAGCACATACAAAAACTTGAAATAGGGCAATCAGTATATGACTGGAATGGCAGGGGGCAGGGGAGCAGCTCAAACTAAACAGAATGTCAAAAGCTGGACAGCAAAGGGCCTTTGTAAGCCCTGCATGCTTGGACCTTATCCAGAGGGCAATGATAAGCCTTTGAAGGGTGGTTCCTTTTTTTTTTCTTTTAAACAATGGGGTGACCTCATGAGATTTACATTTGTAAAAACCAATCCTGCAGTATGTAGAAGATTATATAAATAAGGCGCAATGAGGACAAACAAACAGCAAACGATTAAAGTAATCCTGAAAAGTGTACATCAAGTATACAGTAGCAGAAACAATGAAGAAAAAGGGTATTTAGAAGATAGAATCAATCAACCTAACTTGGTGATGTTACAGTAGTGGGGCTGAAAGTATTGTCAAAAATGACACATGAGCTGGGCATGGTGGCTCACTCCCAACACTTTGGGAGGTTGCGGTGGGCAGATCGTTTGAGCCAGGGGTTTGATACCAGGCTGGACAACATGGCAAAATCCTGTCTCTACCAAAAAAAAAAATACACACACACACACACACACACACACACACACACACACACACACTAGCCAGGCATGGTGGCATACACCTGAAGTCCCAGCTACTCGAGAGACTGAGGTGGGAAGATGGCCTGAGCCTAGGAGGCGGAGGTTGCAGTGACCTGAGATGACACCGGGGCATCCAGCCTGGGCAACAGAGCCAGATCCTGTCTCAGTTTAAAAAAATAATTTTTTTTTTTTAAAAAAGGAAAATGGTATATAAAAAAGTTAAGCAAAGTTACCATATGGCCCAGCAATTCCAATGCTGGGTATATACCTAATATCTGTCCACATAGAAAGTTGTACATGAATGTTTGTGGCATCATTAGCTGTTAATAATCAAAAGGTAGAAACTCAAAATGTCCATCAACAAATAAATAAACTGCAGTATATACATACAGTGAAATATTATTTTGCCAGAAAAAGAAATGAAGTACCAATATATGAAGCTCAATAACATCAGGCTAAGTTAAAGAAGCCAGATACATAAGGTCACACATCATGTTACTTATTTTATATGATATATCCAGAATAGGCAAATCCAGAGAGACAGAAAGCAGATTGGATAATGAAGGGAGGGAGAAATGCGGCATCACTACTTAATGGATATGGGGGGTGGATGTAATGATGTGATGAAAAAATTTTAAAGCCAGTGTAAGCAAAATAATAATAATAAAATAAAAATAAATTTAAAAAAATAAAAAATTCCAATGCAGGATACCTGAAGGGGTGAGGGGAAACAGTGTGAGCTGGTGGTTGGTTGCACAACATTGTGAATACACTAAATACCACTGAGTGGTACACTTTAACACGGTTACCTATAATGTGAATCACTCCCTCCTTTTTTTTAATGACACCAAATTTCTGTGCAAGGGTAGAAATCTGCTTCATTCACTGAAATGAGAAACATAGGAGGAGGTACTGGTTTGGCAGGAGAGGGGAAGAAATGGTGCTGGGTTTAGTATTAAATGCCTTTTGTTAGGGGCAAAAATATATTGTTTTAAAAAGAAATCTAGCCGGGAGCAGTGGCTCATGCCTGTAATCCCAGCACTGTGGGAGGCTGAGGCAGGGTGATCATCTGAGGTCAGGAGTTCAAGACCAGCCTGACCAACATGGTGA